GTTTTCAAGATTATGGAGAAGTACAACCTTCGGCTGAACCCGAAGAAGTGCACGTTCGGAGTTCAAGGCGGTAAGTTCTTGGGACACATGGTGAGCAGGCGCGGTATTGAGCCCAACCCCGAGAAGGTGCGCGCCATCCTTGACATGGAAGCTCCACGAAATGTCAAGGAGGTGCAGCGCTTGACCGGAAAGTTGGCTGCGCTCAGCCGCTTCCTTTCCAAGGTAGCGGATCGAGCCGCTCCATTCTTCCAAGCTGTGAAGAAGTCCCGAGGCTTCGTATGGACGGAAGACTGCCAGCAATCCTTTGAGTCTCTGAAATCTTATCTCCTCTCTCCGCTGATCCTCGCTAAACCCGAGCCCGGAGAAACCTTATATCTTTACTTGGGAGTGTCGCCCAATGCACTAAGCTCAGTCCTAGTCCGAGAAGAAGGCGGAGCTCAGCACCCAGTGTACTACACGGCGAAGACGCTGAGGGGTGCCGAGCTCAGGTACTCGGTGGCCGAAAAGACAGTGCTGGCCGTGGTTTCAACCGTGCAGCGGCTGACGCCCTATTTCCAAGCTCACCCAGTCCAAGTACTTTCCCAGCAGCCTATAGGTGCGTTGCTCAGGAGTCCGAACGCGCCCTCTCGCATGTCCAAGTGGGCGGTGTTCCTTGGAGCCTTCCAGATCGAGTTCAAGCCAAGGCCAGCGATCAAGGGCCAAGCGCTGGCCGACTTCGTGGTAGAATGCACCGCCCGAGAAGAGCCGAGCCCAGAACTTGAAGCCGACGGCTGGTGGACTGTTTTCACCGACGGCTCCTCCGCCGCCAAAAACTCGGGGGGTGGAGTGGTAGTCATCGCTCCCGAGGGCTTCAGAGCATATTACTCAATCCGATTCAGCTTCAAGGCATCAAATAATGAGGCGGAGTATGAAGCGCTCTTGTGCGGTTTACGTCTCGCAGCCGGGATGAATGCGACGAAGCTAAGGATAAAGTGTGATTCGAAGTTGGTGGTTGGCCATGTGTCGGGAGAGTTCGAAGCGAAGGACGAAAGAATGAAAAAATACAGAGATACGGCCCTAGAACTACTTAAAAGTTTCACCGCGTATAGTGTCGAACAGATCCTTCGGGCGGAGAACGCCGAGGCGGATATCTTGTCGAAGCTGAGCTCAGACACGCCCGAGCATATTAGGCGAATGGCGAATGTGGAAGAGCTTTCCGAGCCGAGCATCCACGCTTTCCCCGTGGCAATGATCTGTGCTCAACCCAGAGATTGGACGGACGACATAGTCGCCTTCCTAAAGGATGGCACCCTCCCAGACGAATCGATGAAGGCCAAGTTGGTCCAGACAAGGGCACCGGGGTATACCTTGGAAGGCGAGAAGCTATACAAGCGAGCATACAACGGGACGCTACTTAGGTTCCTCCGACCAGCCGAAGCAAAACAAGTCATGGAGGAGGTGCACGCCGGAATCTGCTCCGCCCACCAAGGAGCGTACGCGGTATCAAGAAAGATAACCCTTCAAGGATATTTTTGGCCAACAATTGTCAAGGATTGCGCGGAGTTTGTAAAGAAGTGTAAAGTGTGTCAAGAGTTCCAGAAGGTACCAGGGAGGCCTTCAACCAACTACACCCCCATCAGCATAGCCATCCCGTTCGCGAGGTGGGGGCTGGATCTCGTGGGTGCACTCCCTAGGGGCACTGGGAACGTGAGGTACGTCATCGTAGCCATTGACTATTTTACTAAGTGGGTGGAAGCAGCCCCATTGGCAAGTATCACCGGAGCTCAATGCCAGAAATTTCTTGCAAAGCAAGTCATCTGCCGCTTCGGGGTTCCCGAGCACATAATCACGGATAATGGGACACAATTCGAGTCCAAGCCCTTTAACGACTTCCTTGGGAGCTGGGGGATCAAGCACAGCTATGCGTCGGTTGGGTACCCACAGACGAACGGCCAGGTCAAGAACGCCAACCGAACGATAGTCGACGGGCTGAAGCGGAAGTTGGAGGCCTGCGGAGGGGAGTGGGCAGAGGAGTTGTCGTACATCCTATGGACCTAACGGACCACGCCTAGAAGGGCGACCGGAGAAACCCCCTTCGCCTTATGCTACGGGTTCGAGGCAAGGGCCCCTGCAGAGATCTCCATCGCAACCCACCAGGAGGAGATCTTCGACCCCGAGCGTAACGAAGAAGCCTTGGCAGCCGAGCTCCATCTCGTGCACGAGAGACGAGAAGCGGCCTTCATACGAGCGGAGAATTACCGAAGGAAGGTAAAGAGCTACCATGACGGCGTGCGCGCGCACGGGGGTTCATCGAAGGAGAGTGGGTGCTGCGCAAGAGGTCCGTGAGCCGCCCCCTAAAAGGTGGGAAGTTTGCCAAGAATTACGAAGGCCCCTACATCATCAAAGAAGTGGTAGGCCCTCAACATTCCGCCTGCAGACGCCGAGTGGAGGGGATGTGACAAGGACTTGGAATGCTGAGAACTTGGTTAAGTTTTATCAATGAATTTCGAATGTACACGGGCCCGAGAAAGGGAACCCGCAACACCATGATTGAATTCAATGAAACGGGATTTTTTGCAATGGTCTAACATGCGTGTCCGGATGCTCCTCCCGGACAAAGGCCTAACCTGCGTATTCGGCACTACTACTCAGTAGAAGAGCCGAGCGCAGACCATGTCCGGATGCTCTTCCCGGACGAAGGTCTAACCTTCGTGCTCGGCACTCCCCCTTAGGAGAAGAGCCGAGCACAGGCCATGTCCGGATGCTCTTCCCGGACAAAGGCCTAACCTGCGTATTCGGCACTACTCCTCAATAGAAGAGCCGAGCGCAGACCATGTCCGGATGCTCTTCCCGGACAAAGGTCTAACCTTCGTGCTCGGCACTCCCCCTCACGAGAAGAGCCGAGCACAGGCCATGTCCGGATGCTCTTCCCGGACAAAGGCCTAACTTGCGTATTCGGCACTACTCCTCAGTAGAAGAGCCGAGCGCAGAGCATGTCCGGATGCTCTTCCCGGACGAAGGTCTAACCTTCGTGCTCGGCACTCCCCCTCAGGAGAAGAGCCGAGCACAGGTCATGTCCGGATGCTCTTCCCGGATAAAGGCCTAACCTGTGTGTTCGGCACTACCCCTCAAGGGAAGAGCCGAGCGCAGACCATGTCCGGACGATCTTCCCGGACGGAGGTCTAACCTTCGTGCTCGGCACTCCCCCTCAGGGGAAGAGCCGAGCGCAGACCGTGTCCGGATGCTCTTCCCGGACGAAGGTCTAACCTTCGTGCTCGGCACTCCCCCTCAGGGGAAGAGCCGAGTGCAGTCCTTAAGGCTAATGGCGAAAAGCGAAAAAGACTTGATCAAATCCAAATTTTATTCATCCCGGAAAACGGGCAAATACATGGCACAAACGCCTTACAACAATTAAACACCTTGCAATTAAAAGTACGGGTAGACTTCAGTGCATGCCACAATTCCACCCCCGCTCGCAAAGACAAGGTGGGGGGTAAGAAGGTGAAGGAGCCCGACTGGTGACGGAGTGCCCGGTGGACTCGTCATAGCTGGGCGAGCCTGGGTCTTCAAGGGAGCAACGGCTCGGATGGTGGGATGCCACGGAGCTCTCGCTTGGGATCGCTGCGGGAGGAGCCGGAGGGCGGCGACCTCGGCCACCGCAGGCGACAGGAACCGGGGGGGCGACAACCTCACGACGGACCGGCGGAGCCGACGGAGAAGGGGTCCTCTCGTCCTCCTCCGACGAATAGTAGATGAACCCCAGGATCTTGGCAGAAGGATCGGGGTGCACCGACTCGAACTTAGAGTCCGAGTCCCAAGAGTCCCGTAGAGAGGGCGGCGGGGTTGAGCTCGGCCCAGATTTGGTCGGTATGGCAGAAGAGCCCCCGAGGGAACAGCTACCAAAGGAAAGCGTCTCCCCTCGCATCTCACTGGAATCGGGGGGAGTGGGGGCCGAGCGCGGCATGACAAGAGTTGGAGAAATTCAAATATGAATGGAACAAATCGTGAGGACCCCCCCGCTTATATAGGCATGTTGCCATAGAGGGAAGGTACACGTGGCAGCACGGGGATGGTCGTACTGGCGGCAGGTCAAAAGGTCCCAGGTCCCAAGGTTGTCTCGGTTAACGAGGAGACAAAAGGGACCAAGCCCCGAGGTATCCTCTGTTCGGCACAGCCGAGCTCAGGTTGGGCGGGGGAAGGAGCGAGCTCGCGAGTTCAAAGAAACAACGAGGGCAGTAAGATTAAACGCAAAACAGAGGCATAGCACATCCGTACGAATCATCAAGTCATAACATATCCGAATTCAAAAAAAAAAGAACAAAGTCTTGAGCAGCAGTACATCAAATACAACAAAGTTTCAAGTCATTTCACTCGGCACTCGGCTGCTCGCCGGCTGAGTTCCCGCCATTTGGGTAGTAGATGGAAGTGTCAAGCTCATCAGGATTGTCGCATGGCTCGGGGAAGTCCTCCCCGGCGAGGAACCTATCCGAGAGGACTTGCTGCGCTCGGAACAGACCGAGGTTGTACCACGACGTTCCTTCGGAGCGGGCGAATGCCTGGCCCTCAGGAGTCTGCCCCCATGCCTTGAGCAAATCATTCACGCGAGTGAAGGCTTCCTCCTGAAATGCATCTGATGCTAGGAACTCGGCAACGGCTCGATCGCGAGCCTCCTGGCGCGCCTCGCGAGCAGCCTCCTCCGCGAGTTGTTGAGCCCGCTCCTCGGCCTGGCGAGCTTGTTCCTTGGCCGCCTTCAAGGCCTCATTGAGGTCGGCTATCTCAACATAAGCCCTACTCCGGTCGTCCTCACTGGCGCGCAGCCGCCGACTCATGTCGACCATGCGCATCATCGCCTGCAAATAACAAAGGGTTGAGCACCACAGATGAATTATATTTGTAAGGTGTAATAAGGGAAACTTACCGAGCCCAGCTCATGGAAGGTATCTGAGGCCAGAGTCTCCCGGTCGACATCTTTTAGCTTGGCACGATCGGTTGGAGGAGTAAAGCTGCGCAGGAAGGTCTCCGGGTCGTAATCCCGGTCTAGGAAGGAGACCCGAGCGGGGAAGGCCGCCTTGACATACTTGGGATGGCCGAAGTCCTTCATCATGGGGGACTCCGACCCCTGCAAAGCGTCGGCGGCCGAGGCCGTTTCCTTCCTCTTCTTCTTCTGTGTCGTCTCGGATGTCGGCTTCACGGGGGGAGTCGGGGGACGGCCGCCTGAGGGAGGAGCCTGGGAGTTGCCGCTCGGAGCGTCCGGGAACATGAGCTTCATCCGCTCGGCGCTGGAAAGCATGATTTCACCTGCACAAAACCAAAGAAGCCAAGTGATGAGGGAAGGACAACTGCGAGAAGGAGCGGGAATCCGGAAGTGGCGACGCACGGACGGTCGAGCGTAAGAGTGCACTGACCTGAGGGGCCTTCTTCGATGCTCCTCTGGGTATCCTCCGGGGATAGGAAGACGAAGCCGAGTGCCGCTAGTTCCTCATTCGTCACCACCGAGCCGACTTCAAAGGGCCCCCCTTGGCAGAGCTTCTCTACGTCTTCGAGCATCTTGTCCGAGGTAACACACGCGGAGCGGCGTCGAAAGGAACTGAGGGGCTCTTTACGAAAAGGGGAGCCCGAGGAGAGAGAAACAAAGATGAACTTCCCCTTCCAACTCTTGGCGGAGTCCTTCCTCGTCTTGAAAAGCCTCTCTTGCCTCTGGAAGATAGAGGCGTACGAACCCGAGTCTGAGTTGGCCCGACCAGATGACTTCGCCAACCGGAAGAGCAACAGGAAGCGGGCCAGATCGGGGCGAACCCCGGTCCTTTGGCAACGGATAAGGAACCCGACCAAGTAACGATGGGATTTGGGCACGACTTGGCAAGAGAGAAGATCGAAATGTTGGAAAAAGTCTATGACCAACTGATGGAGGGGGAAACGAAACCCGTACTCGAGGGATTTGAGGTGGATAGCGAAGAAACCCGAAGGAGCATCAAAGACTGACTGCTCGGGGGTGGGACGACGCACGGCCACACCCGGCGCCGAGGCCAAGCGCTTCGCCTTGCGAAATTCCTCAGCCGTGAGGGTGCATTTCCGCGCTCGGATCCCCGAGTCCTCCAGGGCAGTGCGCCTCTGGTTGCGAGGCTCAGACTGAAGAGGGATCTCAACCGCCTCGACTATCTCCTCAACGGAGGCCGAGCGGGAGTCGCTTTCCTGGGCGGAGCCTGTGACGGAACCCTCGACGTCGCGTTCGGACGCGGACCGACGAAAGACTGAGGATTGGGAAGACATGGAAGAGCAAGGCCGAAGAGGACTAACCTAGTGCGGAGCCGGAGAACAGACGAGGATGGCAGCGGGAAGACTAGCGACGGCAAAAAATCTTACTCTCTCTCTCTAAAAGTGGGGAATGAGATGAGTAGGGAGGGTATTTATAGAGGAAGGGTTGAATGGGTGTAATGATGGGCCGCCACTTGGCCTAGGGAGACGGAACGACGCATCCCTTCATGATGGCAAAGCCCCAAACGGCACCAATGACCTGCCAACTATTCCACGTGGACCCCGTGCCGCTTTCCTACAGTGCCCATACTCTCCCGTGTCCCATCGCTGACTGCAACGAAACCCAGAGAGTGGGGGGCTTATGATGGAGGACGACCCCAAAAGACACGTCATCCGGGACCCATCAGCCACGTGGAGGATCTTCTCTGCTCGGCCCATGAACTCGGCTCGCCCTATGGGTTCGGCTCGGGTAGCGAGCTCGGCTGGGGACCGTGATAGCGACTGCCGGATAGCGACCAGCCACGTTGACTGCGCGACAGCGACGGGATGAAAGGGACAACGCATAACAGGGATGACGTCCGCTAGGCGAAGAACCTCGATCAGAGAAACTTTGACTATGTGTATTGTATCCCCTATAAAAGGGGTGAAACCCCTCATTGTAATGGATCCAAGTGAGAAATGAATAAACTCCTACTTTGCTCTTTCTCTCTCTCTAAAACTTATAATATTCTTCATTCCCGGTGGTTCTTGACAATCATAATTTTTCTTTTAAAATTTTACACTATTTTTCATATCAAATAATTTAAAAACAATTTCAATCAAACATCGTAATGCGCCAGGAGAAATTTATTTGTGAATGTATTAAAAAAATCCGACACTATTCTACATTTCTACTGAGGAAGTGAGATTATCAGTAGTGATAGATAGATACAAAATGACGACCCTTCTATTTGAGTAAATTCCATAATTGGTCCTTTATAAAAAGGAGGTTTCCCTATTTAGTCCTCTATTATCAAATATTACTCCAGTGGTCCTTTTTATGGGTATCTTTCCACAAATAGTCCTTTTTTGATCTTCTATCATGTTGGTGTTAATTTGAGGGCTAAAAGTGTAATTTTACAATGATAATATACGGAGTATCTTTTTTGTCATACACAATTCCAAAGGTTGTTCCGTTTGCGTCGTTTGTGAATTACAGTCGCTTTCTGCTACAACCATAGTTTAGAAATGTGGTCTTTCGTCGGAATCCTAGCCCACAGTCATAATTATTATTTTTTGTATTATCTGCTTAACCAATATCAAAATACGTCACTAGACATAATGTTGATGTCAAATTATACTTTTAGCCTTTAAATTAACACCAACACGGAAGCAGATCAAAAAAAAGATTATTTATGGAAAGACACCCTTAAAAAAAGGACTACGAGGATAATATTTAATAATAGAGGACTAAATATGGAAATCCAAGTCTTATAAAATCTTGGAAAAATTTATACAAATACTCCTAGAAATTTGGAATTTTACAATAATACTCCCAAAATCAAATAAAGACATTGATGCTCCCAATTAAGTTTTAGGTTTACATCATTAGTCCCATTTTGCTTAATCCATTTTTCTAATTACTGTTACATATAATTAATTGATTGTGCTTAATCAATTTATCGTTTACCTCTCTTCCCACAATAGAGGGGTTTAGAGGGACATACATATTAGCACAAATATTATGCTTGCAATTCGGACCCGGATGACTTTCTTTGTTTGATGAAGATGAAGACCCGAAGAACTCCACAGATTTGAAGCAAATCCTTGCTCTCGATGGTTTCTCAATAAAACATCATAAACAATTGACATCTTTCCTTATGAGAGAGACTATATGTGATATGAAGAATGAAGAAAAGTCACTCGTAAAGATTTACCGTTGAACCTTGGGTATGAAGAATGGAGATGGATAAATTTTGATTATACTGTACTCCGTATTTTTTTTTGAACTCGCTAATGGTTATTACTCCTTAAAATAGAAAATACAAATCAAATTTGCCAACTAAGCTCATTTAATGACAACTAAAAGTAAGAAAGATTGAATAGGCACAATGGGAGTAACCATGTAAACATAAAATTTAATTGGGAGCATATGAGTCTTTATTTGATTTTGAGAGTATTATTATAAAATTCTGAATTTCTAGGAGTATTTATATAAATTTTTTCTAAAATCTTATAAATTACCTCCTTCTATTTCTTTCCGTTTCCTAAACGCGAAAAATGAAATACAGACGCAAAATCGAGCTTCGATTTGAGGAAATTCGTGCAGCAAACCTCTCAATGCAACAAATGGACCACTTCATTTTGCATAACTCAATCTTCAATCTTCATGAAATTATTGCATCATTCAGAAATTTTATTGGAAACCTTTTGCCTCTGAGGGAAATCAATGAAACGGCAAAAGAAAGTTAACAACTTTCTAGAATTTTGTCAATTGGCGCAAATTATGGAGTTTGTTCTTCTTCCTATTCTCACTCTTTGGCTCCAATTTTCTACCACCTATATTCTGTTGCGCACATGCACATTTTCACTGTATACTTCTTTTTTTCAATCCGAATGTTATATCAATGGGATCTGCTAATTTTCTGTAATTTGGGAAGAATTAATTGTTATTATCTTCTTTCTTCTGAATTTGGGTTTGAGAAAATGGGAAAGAAAAAGAAGAGAGAAGTGATTCAATTGGATCGCGAGTCAGTAATCCCAATTACCAAGCCTAAGTTAATATATGGATTATCCCAGCTCATTGGTAAAATTTCATTCGGACTATTTTTTTCCCTGCCTTTAGTG